AGCACCAAAAAAAGGACTCTTTATTTATCTTGTCCCTAGCTCCCTCAGGCTCCTCCTTCCCTGAGACCGGTCCCCCATATCATCTTCTCTTCATCATTCCGGACGGCGGTCCCAGAGCTATGACATCATCACGTACCATGCAGAACCAACATTCCTGAGCCCAGAGCTCGGCTTTAAAATATTACTCACCTGTACTCCGGCGCTGTCCCTGGCAGACCCACCAATCCAGCATTATTCACGCCACTTCCTGTCAGCTCAGGGCGTCATGGCTCCGCCCCCTCACCATACAGCACAGGTTCAGTTACACGTAACCACTACTAGATGCAAATCCACATTTTTCTTCTTATTAAATCATTTTCCTTTATTCCGGGCAGACGCAGCTCAGAAGGATGTAGACACAGTATGCATGTTGGGAGGTGGTTACTGACCCCTTGTCTAAATCAGCCTTTCTCACCCTGTTAACCCACGAGGAAACCTTTACAGGTGAGAAGAACCAATTCATGGGTGTTAGTGGGTGAAATATCCCTTATACTGGTGTTCAGTGGGAAAAATGCCCACGCTACACATAGCCGAAAAGGTTATGGGTGTCATGTGGGGTTGGCCCCCGGATCTATCAGATAGGAGGTCCATCAGCCACAGCTCAAGGAAGCCCCATCAACCTCCGGAGGGACCCTAGTTGGAAAAGGGTTGGTCTAGATCAGAGGTGGGCAAACTCCCACGCTCCAGCTGTTGTGGAACTCCAAATCCCTCGAGGCATGACCCCCGAAGACAGATGCATCCTGGGATTTGTAGTCTCACCACAGCTGGAGGGCCGGAGGTTCCCCACCCCTGCTCTAGATACCACTGTACAGTACAAAGCCTTCAATGCTATAGCACCACCTTGTGGTCAAATCCGGATACTGCAGATGAATAAACCGCAAAGTGAATAAAAAGACAAAAACAAAACATTTATTTACACATCATCAGCAACATACATATAATTACAATACATACAAAGGACCGGAAGGAAGTTTAGAAGCTGCCACTGATATCTTTATTCCAAGCGCTGCCTTCACTGTCCCTCATTACATAGGGAGTCCCTGATCTTAGAGTATACCAACATGTAATATATTGCAGCCTGTCAGTCCTCGGATGTGGCGGCTGCATTAGTTTTTAGGCTTTTATATCTCTTTATTTGCACCTGTCAATAACACACGTCCTGCTCTAGGGTGACAACAGTCACTCCCTGTACTGTGGAGCAGCAGGGTTGTCACCCTTGAACAGAAGTGTGTTAGGACTACAGAACATCTCCCCCTCTCATCTGTTTTATAACATGAGAACAATGTAACGATAACTTCCTGTGCGCTCTGCTTGTACTGTTATTTAGCGACTTTGGATGGGAATGTGTGTACTTGCTTGTTGTCTGCACCTTCTCTCAGGTAAAAGGGAATCTAGACACAGATTTGTCATTGATGGAAAATGTGTGCTTTTTTATGTTTATATAGTTTGTAATGACACATGTGTATACGAGGGGCCATTCCTATTCAATGCTCGGGTTCTGCTTCCTGCTTTATACTTCCTCTATTACAAAGCAAGCCTTTCGTTACTGCTCGCCCTCACTAAAAACAATGCCCCCTCCATGTGGCTAATCTCAGCACTTAAAAGGAGAACTATTGGGTCGGGGCTTTTCCCCATAGTTCTCCTCAAGGTAACGGGAGAACACAAACTAGCGTCCTCCCGTGACCCAAAGCTCAGTATATAGCGGGCTACAGCTCGCCATATACTGAGGCCGCCGCAGCTGGGACGGAACCCGACATTACTGTCTGGATCCGCCCAGCTGCGTGAGTGACAGCTGGTTCTGACTATCTAGAGGCAGATCCAGCTGTACCCGCCCCCTCCGGCAGTCAGCACTGGAGGATCGAACAGGGGAGGGGGGAATCCCTGCAGGGAGCCGTGAGTGACAGTCACCACTCTCTGCAGGGACATGATCGAGAAGTGAGCGAGCGCCAGTATGTGTTCGCTCACTTCCCGATCTACTGAGCCGACATGTGACCATTTCATTGTCACACGTCGGCTCGAACTATGAGGATGAGTGATTTTCCACTCACCTCATAGTTCTCCTTTAATACCCAGATAGCAGCCACAGGGAGACCCAAGAGATCAAAGTACGGAATACAACCAAAATACAGACCAGCAATGTACAGCGCGAAGGTCACATGACAAATGACTTATATACAAGGATGACACGGGCTGTGTAATCACCATAAATATACACGCGTTTCCCTTTTATATTCTCCGCTGGACATCCATCCTGAAAATGAAAAGGCCAATCGAGGACGAAAGACGTGACTGCTCCGTACAAATGTCAACCGAAGCTCAACTCAATGCAATTTTTTTTCCCCCTAAAAATGTCCTCCGGCCATAAAAAGTTGATCGGCTGCAATCTAAATGTGTCCCCCCGCAGTAGCTCTGCTCCGCCTCACGACTTAATTTCCGAAAAGGTAATAAAAAACAGAAAGAAAAAAAAAATACGGTGAGGTTTGGACAAAAAGGGGGAGGGGGGCACAGAGCCTGGAGTTGGCTGTACCTGACTGCCCCGTCTTTCACATTCCAGATGACGGTGTGTCGGGAGTAAAGCGACCTTGGTGCTCCAACTACAAATCCCCAAAACAAACTACAAATCTGGGAGTCATCCTTGTGGCTGTCAAGAGTCTTGCAATGCCTCATGGGACTTGTAGTTCCACAACAGCTGGAAGGTTGCCTATGTATGTTAACATTCAGGCAGTGTTTTTATACTGAATGCCAGCAAGCTTTATTGGCACTAGACAAAATCAACCAGATGCCTCCTTCCCTGTCAGATTGGAACCCCCTTTGATGTCTTACACCCACAATATGGCCTTAGTTGCCCATACTTTGGGTGTAATGTGCGAGGGGCAGAGTAACATCTGGCAGGGAAGAAAATGTCTGATTGCCCTTATCTGGTGTCAATAAAGCTTGTTGTGATTGAGGAAAAAAAAAGACCACAAAAGTGGAGCAGGTAAATATTTACATGTTTTGAAGGGGGATCCTGGAGAGCCATACACGCGTGGCCGGTTGCTACCACACGGTTGGCTGGAGCGGTCGTGTTCCAGATGACGGTGCAGCTCTTGGTTGAGAGTTCTCAGAATAAAGTCACATCCATCGGATATTTACAGGGCGCGGCGCAGCATCATTGTTTGATTTGGAGTCAGTCAACACTGTAATGCTGCACATATATCCGGAGACGGATGTCTCCCGCTAGCTCAGTATTTCCGCTGTCGGGGAAAGATGGCGGAGGAGCGTTTCGGGGTGGGTACAGAGTCGGGGTCCATATCGAAGAGGTCGCGGCCCGTTTTCAGGATCTGCTCTTCGATCTTCTTGTGGCGTTTCATGTCCGAGAGGACTTTGTCCAGCCTGGCCTCTCTCTTCTGGCTGCGAGCTGAGCGCCGTGAGGAGGAAAGGGGGGGGCGGTTATTGGAGGTTTCATAGAAAAGTCAAACTTTACAGCAAATCAAATGATGAAAATGATTGACAGCAATACAGTAATGGCTTTGCCTTAGAGCGGGCTGCGAGGAGCCCCCACCAGAGGAGGAGAAGACAAGCTTTATAAAATACACATAATATGGCAGTTTCAGTATAGAAAGGTCCCCATTGTGATGATCAATACTTGTGAGACTTGAGATCATAAGAACCTCTTTATAGGTTCTTCCCTGGAGATAGTACATTACATCGAGCCTTCAAGTCTTGTGCAGAACATGGCCTTCATCGTGGCACATTCAGCCAAGCCTTCACCTTCATCGTGGCACATTCAGCCAAGCCTTCACCTTCATCGTGACATGTTTATCCAAACTTTGAATTTCATTGTAGTCCTTTAACCCAAACCATGGACTACATCATGGCACCTTGAACGAAATCTTGGCTTTTCTTAATGGCACCTTCAACCAAAGCTTGACCTTCCTAATGGCACCGTCAACCAAATCTTGGGCTTCCTAAGGGCACCTTCAACCAAATCTTGGGCTTCCTAAGGGCACCTTCAACCAAAACTCAGGCTTCCAAATGGCGCCTTCAACCCAAGCTCGGCCTTCCTAAGGGCGCCTTCAACCCAAGCTCGGCCTTCCTAAGGGCGCCTTCAACCCAAGCTCGGCCTTCCTAAGGGCGCCTTCAACCCAAGCTCGGCCTTCCTAAGGGCGCCTTCAACCCAAGCTCGGCCTTCCTAAGGGCGCCTTCAACCCAAGCTCGGCAATTGTTTATCCGATTAACCGATTAATCGAACTTAATAATCGGCTAACTAATCGATTTTGAAAATAATCGTTAGCTGCAGCTCTACCTTCAACCCAAGCTCGGCCTTCCTAATGGCACCCTCAACCAAACCTCTGTCTTCCTAATGGCACCCTCAACCAAATCTCAGTCCTTATCATGGCACCTTCAACCAAACTTAGCCTCAGCCATGACACATGAGGTTTAACTAAGACACCTTGGGCATGTGTAATCTACAACAACTGGTGAAGAGTGCAGGAGCAGTGTGGAGTGAGCACTATGGTGTCCTGCACATAGAAATATTTCCTCCCCATTTGAAATCCAGCCTAATGACTACAGTTTCCTCTATGGGCAGAAGACATTTCCCAGCCCTAACCCAGTCCACTATCCCCGTACGTACCGGGCGTTCTCCTTCTGTCTATCATTGAATTTTTTGGTGTGGACGGTTCATCGTCAAAGTCAAACTCGGTGGGAATATGCGGCCTGCAGAAGAAGATAAAACAGAAAATGCATGAAGTATAGATCTCAGGAAGTCACATGTCTGGTCCTTATTCGCATTACACGGATTATAAAGACACTTACCTCTCTTCCTCCTCCTCCTCTTCCTCCTGTTCCTGGTCAGACTCCTCATCCTCGGGATCCGGCTCCGGAGTCGGAGGCCGCCGAGCCAGGATGTCCACCTGCAGTGGGAGGCTCCCCTCGCTGGCGATCAGCTCGTACAGGCGCTTGATGTCCTCCGTCTGCGGCATCCACCCTTCAGTCTCCTCCACGTCATCGTCGCTGCATGGGATGCACCAGTCTTCATCGTCCTCGTCCTCCTCATCCTGCCGGTTCTGTTCATCTCCTGCCTCCCCCTCTTCCTTCTCCCCCGCCTCCCCTTCTTCCTCCTCCTTCTGGTTCTGCTCCTCCGTTTCTCCTTCTTCCTCCTCCTCCCCCTCTTCTTCTTCTTCTTTCTCCTTCACAGCCAGGGACTCCATGCCGGCCGTCACCTTCTGCTCCCCATCTTCCGAGGCGTCCTGCATCTGCGTGGAAAAGAAATGCAATGATTCCACTTGGACGATTCACTGTAGGTGTATCCCAGGGGTAGGCAACCTCGGCTCTGCAGCTGTACTGATAATACATATCCCATAAGGCCTTGCAAGCCACAGGCATGACTCCCAGAGGCAGAAGCATGATGGGATTTGTAGTTTCAGCACAGCTGGAGAGCCAAGGTTGCCTACCCCTGGTGTATCCCAATGTAATCAACCAAATCCATGAATTTACAGATCCGTGGACTGTCAGGCCCAAGAAAGAAAATTATGCAACTATTGTGCGCGTATATATATATACACACACACACACACACACACACACAGGTCATACCTTTGTGTGAATGGCCATCCACCCCCACCCCACAAAGTACCGTCCCAAACACTGTACACCAAACTGGAGCCCTGCAGTGAGGATTTCGAAAATCGTTTGCAAATGGCGAACACTCATTGGCCAGCATTGTCACCTGACCAATGAGAAGCCCTTCAGCAGGGGTGGGGAGAGGGGGCAGATTTGTGGGGCTAATTTCATTCTCTCACATTAGGTAAGAGACTGAGATTACCCTCTAAGGTCTATGTAAAGCCAATACTATTATTTGGGAAAGGTTAGGATCCCTGATGAGTTTTTCTTCTCCTGTCTGTGTCCCCAAAGGGGACATTTCTCTTCACTTCCTGTTCCAGAGACATTTCCTGTTCCTTTAAGACAGTTGTCATCGGACCAGGTGTCCCCACTGGGAGATTTTCTCTCACATCCTGTCCCAGAAATAAAGCAGAAAGTAAGAGGAAATCTCTCCAAAAGCATGAGTTATTCCCTCTAAGACAGCTGTCATCAGACTAGGTGTCCCCATAAAGATTTAACTTCACCTGTTAAGGTGACAATTCAGAAATCTGAGATTTCCTTTAACCTCACAATGGGCACCGGGACAAATAGAGGGGTGAATATCCTCAGTAGGGACACAGAATTCTGGAGAAGGAGTAGAGCCTTTGTCAGATCATTATTGCTTTCTGTGGCCCTAGTGAGGTGAACCCCATCACTTCATGTCTAGACAGAAAGTAATGGGAATTTATTTTTATTGCTGTCTGTGGTGTCCTGTCCTGTTTATCTTTTCTTGTGTGAGGGGGTCACAGGGACAGGAAGTGAAAGAAAATCTCCCCAATGGGGTCACTGGTAGAAATGACAACCTAATTGATTTCAATTCTTCCTCATCTAATCCAAAACTGCAAAAAATGAAATGTATATTACCAATATGTGTAACAATCACATAATTATTATCATCATATAACCCCAAAATACAGAGACTCAGGTTTAATCACTGAGCACCCCAGGCTGTACAACAAATACTGTGCCATGCAGTGGGCAGCCCTCCCTCAGCTGTACATTATTGGTATGATGGTGTCACTCACTGTGCTATCTTTCTTGCTCTTCCCTCTGTTGTGACTCCACCTTTCATCAGAATGGAGAGGAAGAAAAAGCCACCATGTTGCTTCCACTCTGTTTACCCGCCTGGTGATACCCTCACGTCACTTCCGCCCTTCTTTACCCCCCAGCTGTCATTGGCTTCACCAGGTACATAGCGACTTCCTACCTTGCCTGCACAACGGCCTTGAAGTCTCGGCCATATTTGTTACTGGTAATCTTCGTTAAAATACTGGAGCAGCGGTAAGAATAAAAGTTTGCATTTGCTTGACCTAGATCATTTTAAAGGCAACAAAAGGTCATGCAGAAAATATGTCTTCAGCTTGTAATTCTTTGCAGCTGAATTACTATTGCCCACAGTAGACATGGCGTCTGTGCAAGTGTTAGTCATGTGATACTTGCCCTGACGTCACCAATTTTTAAACTGGCCAGTAGGGAGCGGTGTGCGCCCCAAGCCTCGACCTGGGCTAAACCCGACGTGTCACGTGTTAGAACTGCTGACGTTCATTGGCTGGCGAGGAAGGAGGCCGCCAAATACGAATTGGAGAGTGAGTAACCGATGGTGGGCCGGAGCGGCGGTGGGCTGTGACTGTAGGAGAGCTGACACCGGGCCGGTAAATGACAGCGCCGACACACAGAGTACACGGGGGATGGTTACGTCTCCGCTCTCGCTTGCATGTCCTGTATAGACGATATACCACTGTATGTGTTTCATTATACTATACAGCACCTCACAGAGACACCGTATTGTCGGTGTGTACAGGCCGCACAGCACCCCCTCATATCTCTGTATATACACCACACAGCACCCCCTCTTATCACTGTAAATACACCACACAGCACCTCCTATCACTGTATATACACCACACAGCACCCCCTCATGTCACTGTAAATATATATACAGCACCCCCTCATATCACTGTATATAGACTGCACAGCACCCCCTCATATCACTGTATATAGACTGCACAGCACCCCCTCATATCACTGTATATAGACTGCACAGCACCCCCTCATATCACTGTATATAGACTGCACAGCACCCCCTCATATCACTGTATATAGACTGCACAGCACCCCCTCATATCACTGTGTGTGTATATACAGCACCCTTTCATATCACTGTATATACACCACACAGCACCCCCTCATATCACTGTATATAGACTGCACAGCACCCCCTCATATCACTGTAAATACACCACACCACCTCCTCATATCACTGTGTGTGTATACAGCACCCCCTCATATCACTGTGTGTGTATACAGCACCCCCTCATATCACTGTGTGTGTATACAGCAACACCCCCTTGTATCGCTGTGTGTGTGTATATACGGCACTCCGTGTCACTGTGTGTGTGTGTGTGTATGTACGGCACCCCTCGTGTCGCTGTGTGTGTATGTACGGCACCCCTCGTGTCGCTGTGTGTGTATGTACGGCACTCCTAGTGTCGCTGTGTGTGTATGTACGGCACTCCTAGTGTCGCTGTGTGTGTGTTTATCTACGCCGCACGGCACCCCAGACAATCTGTAAAGACTCCATATTGTCTCAAACAGTATAACATACAGTGTACATTATATCCCTCATATGTACAATGTGTTATTGTGCACTCACAGCCCTGCACTTCTGTACACACTCCTCCTATGAGCTGTGTGTATGATCGAGTGTTTATTTGGAAGCGGCAGAACGCTGGCACACCACACGTATGTGATATGATTACATGCTATTAGGAATCCATCACTCTCCCTGAGCACATCGATCGCTCATCCAGGGATAGTGGTACATTGTTTAATAACATTGTGGGCCGTATATTTTGTCTAGGATTAATTGTAGATGTGATAGAGGTGTGTATAAATATATATATATGCGTGTGTATGTATGTATGTATGTATGTATATCTATCTATCTATCTATCTATCTATCTATCTCATTTATTTTTTAGGTTGAGTAGCAATAATGGCGAAGAGGACGAGTATCATGGACGCTCACACCGTGAGTAAGAAGCTGTCCATTACCCGCGTGCGTGTCGCAGTCCGCTTGAGACCGTACATGGAGAAAGGGGAGGATAAAATCTGCGTCCGGGGCCTGGACTCTCAATCTCTGCAGATTATCAATTGGAGGAACCAGATGGAGACCATGCAGTACCAGTAAGTGCGGCGTAAACATAAGCTTTGAAATGTAACACCGCTATAGTGGACAATAGTAAATAGGATCTAAAGCAGCGGTGGGCAACCTCGGCACTCCAGCTTGATGTGGAACTACAAGTCCCAGGATGCATTGCAAGATTCATTCACCGGGACGGCTTCTAGAGGCAAGGTGGGAGGTTTAGTTTGATCGCAGCTGGAGTGCCAAGGTTGCCTTCCCCTAACCTAAAGTCGACAAGTATACTTCACTACCTCTTCTCGAGTACTGCTGAGTATTTTACCATCTAAAGAACATCTATTAAAAAGTTTTATCCATCGGCAGCCATTTCCTCTTTTTCTGCCTATGCTGGACAGATGTAATTGGTGAGGGAAATACCCATGTGGATGCTTTGTATGTTAAAGCCCTTGCTCCCCCTCCCCCCTCCCTGTAATGTGTGCAGTACAAAAAATAAAAACTAATCTAAAGCCCAACAATTCCAAAGGGTTTATAGGGAACAAAAACTGATTTAGGAAGCCAAGAAATGGCCTTTGTTGACCAGCTCTGCACTGGAAGCTGTAGGGGAGGAATGAGCGGAGACTGAAATGCTGGCTATGTAAGCCCTAAATAATATTTCCTGCGTTGAAAAGCCTGAAGCTGGCCGTACACCAATAGATTCTCTGCAGAAAATCTATGGCCGGCCTTAGAAGACACGAGTGGTCAGCTTTAAAGGAGAACTATGAGGTGAGTGAAAATCACTCCTCATAGTTCGAGCCGACGTGTGACAATGAAACTGTCACACGTCGGCGCAATAGATCGGGAAGTGAGCGAACACATACCTTCCCTCGCTCACTTCTCGATCATCTCCCTGTTGAGAGTGGTGACTGTCAGACACGGCTCCCCGCAGGGTTTCCCCCGCTCCGATCCTCCAGCGCTGACTGCAGGAATGGACGGGGGAGGGGGCGGGTACAGCTGCCTCTAGATAGGCAGTGCCAGCTGTCACTCACGCAGCTGGGCGGATCTCGACAGCAATGTCAGGATCCGTCCAGGTTGCAGCAGTCTTAGTATACAGTGAGCTGTAGCTCGCACTATACTGAGCTTTGGGTCACGGCAGGACGCTAGTTTATGTCCTCCAGTGACCCCCTAAGAGAACTATGGGGAAAAATACCCCATAGTTCTTTTAACCTGTCCTGAGGGAACTACAGGGGTTGTAGTTTGCCTGTCTGACCTTCTTGCTACGGTAGTTTGCGTCACTGACTCAGAAGAGGTGCACAGATGAGGAAAGTCAGAAAATCCGAACGGCTTCAATATACGGACATGAAAAATGTATGCAGAGAAGTCCGCGTGGCAGCCAGGTAATTACCTACTTTTCTAGTAAAAGGTTTCTGCAGCTTAAATGATCTCCAGTCCTTTAGTGACGTTGTTTTCATACTGTGCCAATTTTGCAGGTTTGATGCGTTTTATGGGGACACTGCCACTCAGCGGGAGATCTACACCGGTTCCGTGTACCCGATCCTTTCACACTTGCTTATTGGGCAGAACGCCAGTGTGTTTGCCTATGGACCCACAGGAGCAGGTACATATCATAGTGAAAAGACCTAAATGACTATTACCGTCCTCAGCATAATATAAAATGAAAACGTTGTGTTCTGTAGGGAAGACTCACACAATGCTGGGGAACCCAAATCAGCCGGGTGTCATCCCTCGGGCTGTCAGAGATTTGTTACAGATGACACGGGCGGCTACTGAAGAGAACTGGATTTACTCCATCACCATGTCTTATGTGGAGATTTACCAGGAGAAGGTAAGTCACCCGTTCCTTTCCTACCTGCTTCACGTCTGCAGGGATAGGAGTCTGCTTGGAGTGTCTGTGTCTCTTTCACACTCACACACAGACACATTGCGGGCCTGTTCACACGACATCCGTTTTGTGTGCTGACCGGCTCCGTACGCTGCTGCACTCAAAATGTATCCCTATGTGTTTTATGGGCTCCAGTTCTCACGTGCGCAGTCCGTTCAGCTTACGACAGAAAAAATACTGCATGTCACATTTTGTCAGGTCAGAAAACGCACTGCAGCTAACATACTAACAGCCCCACTCCAGCAAAAAAAAAAAATTTTGTTTTTACTGGAACGCATCAAAAAATGCGGCCAAAACGTGGCAAAAACGCACTGCATCAGTCTGCAGATCCGCTCCTGATCAGTACCTGATATGTGAACAGGCCCTGCAAGTTAAAGCAAACCTCCCTCCCAATCCGCATGCAAATTAGGGCTCATTCAGATGGGCGTACATGTCTGTAAAAACACCTGATCCTGGAAGGGACAGGTGCTGCGTGTAAACGCATGCAGCAGCCTGTTCTTCCCTATGGGCGGACACGGCGGCACGCAATTACATGCTGTCACACGCACATGCGTGCGGCTCAATGTTCGCACTTGGATGCAGACAGTGCCATATGCCACTTCTCTCTGATGCTCATTTACCCAAGGTAAATGCAAGCTCGATGACTCCAGCCTTGTCCTTTTTCTGTCCCGACTCTTTTCCACTGCACATCTATCCCGCACCTCCATCTGCGTTCTTCGTTATTGGTACACTTCCTGGTTCTTGCAACCGGCACTCTGAGGTACAGCACCAGATGCGACTTCCTGTGCTGTGGAAGCTGGTAGCCTTTTGGGATATGGGTCATTGGTACCATGCGAGGAGGCTGACGCATCATTCTTGCCTAGGGAAGAATGGAGGTGGGGGAGGAGTAAATTAAAACATAAAAACGTCAGCTTTCATATGTTGTGGAATGGAGAGCATTAGAATGGGGTACATTGTGTAAAATGTATGTTTATTGGACCTGCATGTACGCTTGCAAGTCTGCTATCCTTTGCTTTATCCATATTTTGGTATCCATGTGCCATCTTGCAGAATCCATTCCATTACCTCTAGTCAGCAATAGTGGGACGGGATGCCACCGGAGGGAAGTGACGTAATCATTCCCTCACAGGAAGTGTTCTGTAGGAACTACGTTTATCCTGTGCCAGCAAGTGGGCATTTAATAGGGCAGTTCTATCCACCTCTCTTCTGCTGTTTAAGTAACCACATGTTACTTGTGTCACAGAATGCAGCTGTCATTTAAATGAGGGGAGAACACGGGGTGGGATTGTTCTGTGCAATAATGACTCTATTAAGAGTAAGGTCTGGAAAGCCCTCTGAGCTCTGCAGCCAGGAGGTTGTGGACAATTCCTGGTCCTATTGCGAGACTCCAAGTAATGGTTTTACAAACATGCCTTATTTTTATTTTGCAATTGCAGAATGTTTGCATTAGAAAAAAAAATGTTATGCTTTAAAGATCACCTGTAATGCAGAAGCTCGATGGCTGCCATTGCATAACTCCCTAGTTCTGACTGTCATGATCTGGTTGGCTTCAATACTTTCTCGGTCACTTACCCAAAACAAGGGTGGAGATTATAACTTCTACCTTTCTTCATCTGCATACCTAGTTTGGGCCGGCGGTTCTGAAAGATTTTTGAAGCCAGAAGCAATTGGTATTTTTTAGAAGCTTGGAATTAGCCGCCCCCATATTTCTCTCGGTGCATGTTTTATACGAAGAGAGCCTGTTGGGTCTGTCTTCATTAATCATTGGAGTTTCTCCACCAGGTAATGGACCTTCTGGAACCGAAGAACAAGGACCTTCCCATCCGGGAGGATAAGGACCATAACATCCTGATCCCGGGTGTGACACAGAAAACAATTAACAACTTCTCAGACTTTGACGAGCATTTCATCCCGGCTAGCCAGAACCGCACCGTGGCCTGTACAAAACTCAACGACCGGTCCAGCCGGAGCCATGCTGTTCTGCTCATCAAGGTAAGAAGGAAGTAGGGACCTTACAAAAATATTGGTCACTGCAGCCCCTAAATTGCATAGATTCTGTAAATAACCGCTTTAATGGTCTGTCTGCACACTTGTCACATATCAGTGCTCAGACTCTAGACATGAAATTGTGGGCTGGGGGTTTGAGTGTGGCTCTCCTGCTCTACATGATGGTGCAGACACAGTCTCCTCGTGGGGTGCAGTGACCAATTTAATATATTAAAGATGTTTTGGCAGAAAATGCTTTTGGGTCCCAACCAAGACTTTAGATTTCTCTTCGCACAGATCTGCTTAAAGCCCACTGTCCTTTTTATGAGGAATAAACCTATTGTTTTTGAGGTGACACTAAACTTAGTAGTTAAATCTTTAAAAAATTATTTCAAGAACCTTAACTATTAACAATGTATCTAATTTGTCTATCACTCAGCTGTAGATCCTCCATCTCTGAATTGCTGCTGACACTGTCCTTCCTTCTGGAGGGGGGCTACTTCTTTTCCCCATGGTCCACGTGTGTGTTGTAAGGTAGTCACTGCTTCAAGCTAGCTCCCGTGATGGACTACAATCTCATGTTTTGTTTACTAATTTGGATTGAGATTGTAGTCCATCCCGGGATTGAGCTTGGAGCGGTGACTACTTTACAACACACACAACACACACAGGGACCATGGGGAACAGACGTAGCCCCTCCTCCAGAAGAAAGGATAGTGTCGGCACCAATTCACAGATGATTTGAATACATATTTAACTCCCGAGTTTTGTCACTTTTGACTTCATAATGGAAATAAAGTATGTATATGTCTGTTTCAGAGTTAATGCCGTGCATCAGAAAATTGCATACTCATCTCTCTGTTGTATGCATTTGCTAAACATTTGTTAACATGTATGAAGTTGCTAAACATTTGTTGGCCAAATTTTAGCAGTACCAGGGAAAAGCTAAATCTGAATTAAATTCTTCAACCCTTAGTCTTGTGTACATAACCAGGTTAAAAAGTGATCTCCAAGTTCAGCTGCCTTTAAAGTGACATTAAAGGCAGATTTTTTTTTTTCCCCCCTCACCCCAACGTTAATGAAAGCACTTACTTTACTGATGTCTCTTAATCCGATCATCTTTCCTGTAGTTTTCAGCCTTCTCTGCGGCGAGTCTCCGATCCAGCGCTGACTCCTCTGAGCTTGCTGCCACTTCCTGTCCCATGGTGTCTGCATGCGGATGCACTCGTCCATAGACTTACCTTGCGTCTCTCCTCGCATCCTGGCCGAAAATGTGAAATGCGCATGCTCCAAGATGCTTTGCGGGCGCCCGAGAATTTTCACATTTTCGGACGGGAGTGCGCGGGGACGACACAGGTAAGTTTAAACCGCTGTTAGTTTTTGTTTTTTTTGCATACATCTCCAGCAAAAAATGTATGGGGAAAAAAAAAGCTGAGGGTTTAGAAACCCTTTAAGAGCTAGCAGTTTTTCTTTCTCATTGGAAAGTGAAGTTTTTTTGGGCAACAATTCTGGACACCACATTATCCTCCCCTTTTGATTTTAGAGCTCTCCTTTGACAGGATCACAGACATGAAAAGCTCTCGTGTGACCCTAGACTTTTTGCCTTGATGCTTATTTGGGTGGAAGTTGCGATTAACTAACTCTGCAGAGAGATGTTTGTGCCTCCTAATGCCATCACCAGCACATTAAAGTCTCTATTATGCTGCATTGCTAATCTTCCTGGGTGGATTTAAGTGGCAATTATGTGCACTCGGATTTCATGGTATTTGTTAAATGTGTGATTTATGGGCGGTAAGCTAGTTCTTCATATAGTGCGGATATCAGCAGGTGGCAGCAGAGCTCTACTTTACTATTGCCATGTTTTATTCCGGCTGCAGTCGTAGTTCATTCTATTATCTTAGATTGCATGCTGAGATTCCACTACGCAGTTTAGATTCACCTCGGTTCCTGCTGTAAATAAGCATGAAATGTATGTAGAGATAACATAAATGACCAAATGTTTGGACGCATGATCATTACACCTACCTATATGGATAAATGTATGTGCACACCCCTCCAAATTGATGAGATGAGGTGTTTCCAGTGAAGGGTTCTGTTTGGAAGAACGCAAATGTCCAAACTGTCCGTGTTGTGTAATATTAGCCTTGTAGTAACAGTTGGGTGAAGACCCTTTTCTGTTCCACAATGACTGTCCCCTGTGTACAGAGCCAGCTCCATAAAGACATGGTTTGGTGTGGAGGAGCTCCAGTGCCCCGCACAGAGCCCTGACCTCAACCTTTGGGGTAAATTGGCACGTCGACTGTGAGCCAGGTCTTCTCATCCAACACCTGCCAAAAAAACACAAATGTTCTTTTTGCTTAATGGGCACAAATTTCCCTCAGATTCTCCCAAATCGTACGGTAAGCTTTGCCAGAAGAAGGGCTGTTATGACGAGGCGGGGGGGCATATTAATGCTCATGGTTTTGGAATGAAATGTCCTAGTATGTACACTGCTGTGTAAATTGTTGGTGCTATTAAAAAACAAAAACCCTGTTATAAATGTCCAACATGTTTTTATTGGATGTGCAGCATTTTAATATAATTTAAGACCTATTTGGCTGAAAGTCCTTCATAGGGATCTGTATGGGTGAACTTGCAGATCATTTCAAGTGTCTGGTAACGGCATCCTTTAAAAGATGACTATGGTGTCAGTGTCGTCCCCCCCATAGTTCTATTAAGGGTCACAGGAAGACATATACTAACGTCCTCCCAGATTCTGCGGCTTTCCTGGCCAGCAAGGGACCGGTGCCCATTAGGGTGAGTGCTGCACCTTGGTGATTCCTCTGCTAGAAATGTATTGCCTGGTGGCAGAATCGCCAATATCATGCTGGCCTTAAAGAAGCATTCTGGGCACAATTTTTTAACCCTTGCAGTCGGGCTGCTCATTGTCGTCTAGGGACTAAAAAAAAGTTATACTCATCCGATCCTCCAAACCGGCTTGTTAGACTGGTCCTTCCAACATCTCTCCCCCTCTGCTGCAACAGCCTCGAGTCCCCTAGTCATCATGTTCTATAAATCGTGTATAGGATGCGAGGACATGCCATTTTTACAGCATAGGAAGAGAGGCAGGGGCAGTGCTGTGACAGCCGGCTGGATTCAAGATTCGGGTGAGTAAAACTTTATTTTAGCCCCTAGATCAGGGGTAGCCAAACTCCGGCCCTCCAGCTGTGGTGAAACAACAAATACCATGAAGCATCTCTCTCTCCTGGAGTCATGTCTGTGAGAATCTTGCAGAGCCTCATGGGATTTGTAGTTCCAGCACAGCTTGAGGGCTGCAATTTGGCCATCCCTGCCTTAGATGAAAACAAGCAGTTAACCGTTGCAGTGCAGGGGTAGCCCCCCCCTGCAAAGGTTAATTAAAAAAATAAATGTTTTCCCCAGAGTTCTTTACATTTCTCCAACACAGTGTTATGTTAATCAACCCGTTGGAAAGATTTCAAAAAGACCTGAAGAGCATACAAACTCATCCACATGGTGTACCTGGAATGGTTTGAACCCAGGATCCCGGCGCTGATGCTGGCAAGAAGCTAGCTTAACTGTGTTCACACGAGTCCTTTGAACCCTCTCAGGTGCAGAAGACCCAGCAGGTACCGCCTTTCAGACAGCTAACGGGGAAGTTGTACCTGATAGACCTGGCGGGATCAGAAGACAACCGACGCACAGGAAACCAAGGCATACGGCTAAAGGAGAGCGGCGCCATCAACTCCTCACTCTTCACTCTCAGCAAGGTGGTGGATGCCTTAAATCAGGGGTTACCCAGAATCCCTTACAGAGACAGCAAGCTAACACGGCTCCTACAGGTGAGAACTTTTCCTGTCTCTTGATTTTACTTTGCTACGTTTTTAGTCTCGCTCACTTAGATTGCCCTTGTGTGTACACATGACACATTGCAACTATGTTCAGAGATTAGAAATTGGAGATTCACTTCACTGCCAACTTTTTTTTTTTTTTTTTTTTGAAGGGATTTTTAAGGGGAATTTGGGTTTAT